CCACTTGCACACTCACTTGGTGCTGGCCAACACTTCTGAACAGTTTGTGGGTCCCGGGGCAGAATGTTCACAGGCAGCAGATTTCCCCAGAAGACAGCAAAGGATGGAGTCCAAGCAAGACCACTGCTGTGCTTGGCTAACTTTTGGGCTGCGGTGAAGACGGCTGTGATGTGGCCTGGTCAGCAGCATTGCAGGTCTGGACTGGACTTTGAATAAACCATTTCCTGGATGTCAGGAGAGGAGTGCTCCACTCCCACATACCAAATTGCAGTGCTTAGCCTCAGCTTTCCAGTCATATCCCACTTCCCAAGATCTGGAGTAGGTTCCACGAGGTCAGGAAACATGCCTATCTTATGTATCGCTGTGTGCCCAGTGTCTGAAACATGGGCCTGGTACAAAGAAGTCATTATATGTTAAGTAGATGGATGGATATGTGGGTAGGTAGGTGGATGGATGGATGGATGGATGGATGAATGGATGGATAGATAGAGAGACAGACAGAGATGGATGGATTGACGGATGGACAAATCATAGTGTGAAATATCAGCTCCAAATCATGGTTAAGAAATGCTATAAATGAGTACCTTTGGTAAATTACCATTTTGGAATAGGTAGGTATGTGATGTTTTTAAAACAGAACAAGTAAACCAACATTTTAAAAATCATAGGCTAAGAATTTGCTGGTTGCATGAATTTGTCATCTTCACTTGCATTATGCAACAATCACAAGCATGGTGTAAACATATTTATAAAGACAGTCTCTAAATACGTGGATGCAATTTCTATTGATGCCTCTGGAATAGAATTAGGTCAAAGGCCACTGGGAAAGGATTGAGAGCAAGCATTTACTGAGTGTCCACCAAGAGTCAAGTTGTTTAGTTAAATGCTACCCTGTCAGATCCTCTCTCAACTCTGTGCAGAGGGCATCACCATCCCCGTTTTTCAGGTGGAGGAACTGATGTGCGATGAGGCTACACATGTCCTGCTTGGGGACACACAGCTAGTAGGTGGCAGACTAGCTTTGAATTCAGTTTTGCTCAGTCCCAAATCCCATGCTGTCACCATTTCCCTACATGACCTGGCCGGAAGAGGGCCTATGGTAGGAAAAAAATGGGGTGAACATTGTTTAAGGATTAAATCTTGTAAGTCCTGTTATCTCCTTCATCCCACAGCAATTCTGTAAGGGAGGAACTATACTGTTATTACTAATGCCTCGAAGGTGGGGAAACCGAGATTTAGAGCTAAATGCCACTTCCAAGGTCATTGGAATCAGGAAAGCTCTTTGAGGCCGATTGGATTTCTTGTCTATATGACCCTGGCAAAGGCAGACAATAGACTGAGGCCCTCGCAGGCTTGCTCAGTGCCCTAAATTCCTTCACTACACTCTACTTGGAGTCACAGCTTTTTGACTCTGGTTAAAATGCAAATCATACCTGGAAGGGATAACACAGAAAGTCATTATCAGCCTGGAACAAAGCCAGACGACGTTCATGTCCAAATTCCATTCTCAATACTTTTGGGTTTTTTTTTTAATAACTTAAAAAACATTTTTGGGGAACAATTCATGTTCATTGTAGGAGTTTAGAAAATGCAGAGAGGCAGAAGAAAATAAAAGAATAAAGGAAAGAAAACAATCACCTGAAATCTCCCTGAAGTAGTCATCTTTTCCTGTTGCATCTAGTAATAGTACTCAAATTTTGCAATTTTGCCCTGAGAAACCATATATCCCCCACTCTCCACCAAACTCATTAAGGTAGGGCTTATTCCATGCCGGTACCTTAATGGGGTAGAAGAGCATGTGACCCAGAAATGGCCAATCAGAGCATCACAGCCCTGGCCACAATGATTGGCTCATGGCAGGGTATGCTACCAATTCTAGCCAATAAGGGCTCTGCCCAAATCTTTCAATGGACTCATTTGGAAATATTTTTTTTTCCTCTTCCTAACTGCAAAGAGGATGGGAGCAGATAGTGGCCATTCTTGACCTAGTCTGTGGAAAGCTTACCTGAGAATAAAGCCAGTTCCACAGAGCAGTTGAGGCATGTGTAGTAGTAGAATTTTGATATTGTCTGAGTGTCTGGATCCAACTATACCTGAAGCCAGTGCACTTAGACTTTTCAGGTAGTAAATTGAATTATGTACAATTGCCAGTATTTGACAATTTTGAAAGTGGTGATTTAATATGGTTTAACTCAATACACGAGAAAACAAATTTCCTTTCCTACTTAAGTAAGTTGCAATTGAGTTTCTGACTCCTGCAACTGAAAGAATCTGGTTCAATACATCTATCACCCAAATAAAATCAACATTCACAATTTGGTAGGTCTCCTCCCATACTTATTTGTGTCTGTGTGTGTGTATGTTTCTGTTATATAATATAATCATAGTTCCTTTTGTAATATGCTATCATATAGCACTTTGTATTAATAATTAATGATTTATGACAATTTAATTTCACTTATTATTTATGTAATTAGTTGTTCAAAATCCTCCTTCTATGGCCTGAAAGTTTCATGAGAACAATGCTTTATTCTAGCCAAACACATTGTCAGCCCCCTAGTAGGTGCTCAATAAATGTTTGTTGACTATACTAATATGCAGATATACTAAAAAAATGGAATTCAGTTCCAGAGAATGGTTTAGAGAAAAGCCAACCCACAGCCAGGCATATAGCTACTGAATTCTATAAAAGTAAGACATATTGTCCCATTAGAGTAGGGCCCAGAGGTAGAACAAGCATTGAAACCTGGGCATCTGCATTAAAATACAAATGATACACTAGTGGACAGTGGCAGTTTTCATAGAAGACTGGCAACTGCTCATCAGCCTTCTTAACAAGTTGGCATGGGGTGGAAGTTGGGGAGCACAGAAAAGAGATCTAATAGTGAGACCCATGCTTTGAAACCCATAGAAAGAGGTTAAGCAGAAGGTTTTTGATGCATCTATTGTATGTTCATCGCTCAGACCGCCGGTCCATGATACATTAGTATCTCCTCAAGGTGGTCCAGCAAAATGCAGGGAAGACATGAAAGGCAATCAGTCAATCAATCATGCCACTACAATTCTCATAGGCTCATGGATTATCAGAACATGGAGATATGTTGTTGTTGTTGGCCTGTTGTTATGGTAATTATCATCAACCTTCACATCAACAGCCTAAGAGTGGCTGATATGTATTGCCTGGCAAGGTGCTAAGAGGTTCTCGTGCATTGTCTCATTTTGTTCTTGCAACACCCCTATGAGATAGCTACTATTAGGTACCCACTTTAGAGAGGAAGAAGCTGAGGCTTAATGCAGTGAAGACACTTGCCCAGTGGCACATAGTTGGGAAGTGGCAGAGCTAGGATTTGAATCCAAGGTCTTCCAACTTTTCCCGCTCTGGTTTTCTAGGTGATCTCATCCACTCCACTCATTGTATAAGTGAGGAAGATGAGCCTCTGAAAAGTAGTCGTTCTGAGGTGGGAAAGAGATGCCAAACAACTGTTAGAAGCTTTACACAATTACACCTAAACATCGAACCTTTGCCTTTTCAGAAATGATCCTAAGCAGAGGATGGGGAGGGCCCTGATGCAAAGGGATCCAGATGGGGTTGACCAGAAGATACTTGCTGACATTTACATCACATGAAGGTATTGATTGCAAGGGCAGCCCAGGGCAGCCATGCTGGAGGGTTTAGGTGATGTGGTCCATGACAATCCACCTTGGAGAAGTTCCCACTCAGACCCACACCGGAGCGTACATGAAGATGTACACTACCATCATGCAGTCTGCAGTGGTAGCAAGCTGAAGCCCTCCAGGTTTCTGTCCCTAAATACTTGGATGATTAAAATATGGGGAACACACACCAGGGAGTACCATGCGGCAGTCCTAGATGTATGAATGACAGCATGAGTGGATCTTAAAACCACAGTGCCATGAAGAAAATAATAGACAGGATGAAATCCACAGCACAGTATCATTTAGGTAAATGAAAAACTCATGCACCCGAAACCTTTCCCAGAAACAAATACAAATAAAAAGATATACATCAAACAGATTAGGTTGGCTGCCTGTGGGGCGTGTATGAGAGGAGAAGGGAGAAGGGGAGAATGAGGCATGAAGATCAATGGGAATAAATGAATGGATGAATGGCACACGGGAGATGCTTGCAGACAATAATGTGAATGTGGCATAAGCCAAGGAGTATGAGTGCCTCAAGCCTCAGCATTCCAGATCTGAAAAAGTAAAGAAACACAAAGACAAAATCACTCAGCTAGGCTTGTGAGTAAAATTAAGTCATAGCATAAGGAATCCAGCATTTTAAAAACACCTACTGTGTATCAGACACTGTTGCTAGGGACTTTCTCTGTGTCATCTCATTTACTATTCAACAGAACATTAGGAAGAAATTAGCATTTGTTTCGCAAATCAGGGAAATGGAACGGAGAGTTGAGGCTGGAGGAGAGTAGTCCTCATCCAGGTTGTCAGAACCCAAACGAATTTGTTTTCAGATTTTCCAGAATAGACATTCCACAGTCTATTTTCTGGGAGCAAATGGAAAGGCATCATTAGTTGCTAGTAAGAGAAAAATTATGACAATTCTGTAGGATGGCCTCGTTATTTTAAAAACAAGTGTGTTGAGTGACTTTTCATATAGAAAAGAGGCTGGAAGGATCTGTGTCTAGGTTTTAGCAGGAGGCCCCTGGGAGCAGGGGTGCATCTGTGCTGGCCAGCCTTGTCTGCTGCTGTGCACCCATTCGGGGCTGACCCACAGGAAAGCTCAACATATTCACACAAATTAATCTCCGGATGGTGAAGTGCCTTTTCTCTGTGCCTTCGTGTACTATCTGCATTTTTAAAAAGAGCACAGATTACTTTTATAATCAAAAAGGAACAATAAAGCTTTTTCTGTTTGGAAGGAAAACGTTTGTTTAATAAGAATGAGCAGAGGGATTCTGAGGCCAGTTATGTCTGAGAATCCCGTCTCCCATGGCAACAACAGTATGTGTATTCTCAGAGAACCCATGAGTAAGTCTTGAGTGCCTACTCTATACGTGGTTCATGGCAGAGGGCTCAGAAGAAAAAGGCAATTTGGGGAAGGAATGGTTACCAGCAGAGCCCACGGAGTAGCGTGTGATCCTGGGCAAGTTATTTGATCTCACTGAGCCTCTGATTCCTCACTGCAAGATGGGCACAGTACTAGCCATGAAGGTTAGCCTATGCCTAGCACTGAGCAGGGGTCCATATGTAATAATATTGCTATCATGGATGGGGGTGGGAGAAGCACCTTAGCTGGTGGGAACAGCAAGGGCAAAGATACGGAGGGAGGACTGCACTGGGTACTGCAGGGCCTTTGTTTTCAGGTTTCCTCTTTTAGGAAATCAGAGCTGGGGCAACAGGTTCCTTGTTCTTCCCCAGCCTCCTCTGGAACTGTACTAGAGGAATCTGATTGCTAGTTTTAAAAGGCAGTAAAGAATCATTAGGGCCAGTTTCATCAGTGCAGTGCTCTGTGTGCTGGGAAAAGATGAGGAGTAACAGCACAGCCCAGGGCTTCCAGACCATGGCCCCAAACCAGGTGATTAAAGATGCAGAAATGGGATTCCAGATGTAGAAAAAGAAGAAGCTGCCTGAGGAGAGGGGGGCCAGCTCTATGGATACAAAAGTCCTGAGAATACACAGACCCTACATATGCACCTATGAGTTTCTGGTAGAAGTACAGGTCCTGGATATTACACACACACACACACACACACACACACACACACACCACTTAATAAGCTCCATTCGAAATTAATTTCTCTCACCCAAATCAAATCTGAAATGAAACACCAGATTGCCCATCCACAATTCACCATCTCTTTTGCTCTTGCCTTTGAGGTAACACAAATATCCATAATATACAGAGTGATTACTAGGTACCAGACACTGTGCTAAAGTCTTTATGGGAATTTGGCCGTGTCCTCTTTCCCAACAGCAGGTCTTAATTAGGATCGGGGTGGGTCATAAGGACAGGAAACAACATAACAGTGGCTTAAGGAAGAAAGGAGTTTATTTCTCCACAATGTTAAACAAGTTTAGGACAGTTGGCCCAGGACATATGTCAATGACTGCAGCTCCTTCTTTCTTGAGGTTCTGCCATCCTCAGCATGCAGCTTTCTCCTTGTGGCCCAACAGCTGCTTGAGCTCTTGCATCACAACCACATTCCAACCAGCAGGAAGGAGGAAGGGACAAAGAAAAGCTCCCTTCTCTTGTCACTGCACTCCAGTCTGGGCAACAGAGCGAGACTCCGTCTCAAAAAAATAAAAATAAAATAAAATAAAGGCTCCCTTTTCTCTTTTAGGATCCTTCTAGGCATCTGCACATGATACTTTCGCTTATATCTCTCCACCAGAATGTAGTCACAATGCCTACTTCTAATAGGAGGGAGTGTTAGAAAATGAAGTTTTTACTCCAGGTGAACGTGGAATTAAAAAGTTAAAAGTAAGGGGAAAAAATGAGAAGAATGGCTATTGGATGCAAGGAGGATGACTATGGTCTTGGCCACAGTGCCACTACTATTAACAATAATCCTGCTTTTCAGATGAGGAACCTGAGGCTCTAAGAGGGGAAGTGACTTGTCACAGGTGACCATGATGGTACATGGTACCATATGATGACGGTATAATGGCACATGGCAGATGGTATGGTACCATATGATGATGGTGATGGTATGATGGTACATGGAAGATAGTATGATGGTACATGGCACAGCCAGGAGTTGAACCAATGTTTCTTTGGCCCTGAGCCACTGGGTCTTTTGAAAGCTATATAAAAAGTTCTTTTGTGGTAATTTGTGAGATTTTGGTGCACCCATCACCTGAGCAGTATACACTGAACCCAATTTGTAGTCACTGATCCCTCACCCATTTCCCACTCTTTCCCCTTGAGTCCCCAAAATCCATTGTGTCATTCTTATGCCTTTGCATCCTCATAGCTTAGCTCCCACTTATGAATGAGAGCATACAATGTTTGGTTTTCCATTCCATTCCTGTGTATATATATATACACACACACACATACACACACACACACACACATACACACACACACATACATACACACACACACGAAATATATATATATATATATCACAGTTTATTTATCCACTCGTTGATTGATGATTGATGGGCATTTGGGCTGGTTCCACATTTTTGCAATTACAAATTGTGAATCTCCACACTGTTTTCCACAGTGGTTGTATTAGTTTACACTCCCACCAGCAGTGTCCACCTGTTTCCCAAAAACCAATGGAAATAAAAAATTTTAAATAAAAATAAAAAGGACATATTGACAGTCAAAGATAATAAATAAATAAAATAGTCAAATTCATGAAATCGAAGACTAGAATGGTGGCTACCAGGGGCTGAGGGCTGGGGAAAATAGGAAGTTATTGATAAACAGGCACGAAGTATCAGTTATGTAAAATGAACAAGCACTAAAGATCTACTGCACGACATTATGCCTATACTCAACAATAATGTATTGTACACTTCAAACTGTACACTCAACACACTCAACTCATGTTGGGTGTTCTGACCACAACAAATTTTTTAAATGGAAAAAAATGAAATCCACATAAAAGATACAGAGGAGAAATTCCATGAACACGCGGAGACACACCTACAAACTCACAGGCTTCAGGGCTTGAAAATCATATGCAGGGTTTCACAGCAAAGTCATTTTGACAACTGAATCCAGATTCCCAGGAAACACTTGTTTCTGTTGAAGCTGTGACAGAGCCTTAATTACAATAGCCTAAAGAATATGCTGCACTTACAGGATATGGGGAGCAGGCTATGAATTCCTTTTAGAAAGTCCCTTCCTCCCCAAGGTAAACCAGGCAGGGAGGAGGTTTACACCAGCTCCAGAAGGACACCTGGATGTCCCTCTCCAAGGTGGTGGCAGCGGTGTGCTGTACGGGTCATTTGTCCTCTGCCCTCTCTCATGTGAGGATGTGCAAATAATCACGGTTATTTGAATTGCAAGGAGAAAACAAAATCCTGCCAATGAGTGGGTGAGGAAGGTCACCTCCAAGGTGAAACTCCCCCTGTTCAGTGTTGAGATGAGGGTCCCATGATGCCCTGAGAGCTTCCTGCAAGTGCCCATGGGACTAGGGCCTTCCCCTTTCTTTGCCCCCTAACCACTGGTGCGAATTACTCCCTAGGAGAGGAAATGCAAATGATAGCTATCATAGCTAATCCAGTTGACATGCAAGTATCTGATAACACTAGTATCTCCTTACATGCCTGCATCACAGAGGGTCATACATCATCCCCATTTTACAGCAGAGAAAACAAAGGCTTAAAGCCAAAAGTGAAATAGTGCAACCTGTTTGGAACTCTGTTTGCCAGTTTATAATAAATTAATACATACTCTTACCATACAACCTAACCATTCTACTCCGAGGTATTTATCTAAAAGAAACAAAAACATACATGTGCAAAAAAGATTTGTACAGCCAACACCACCAATGTCCATTAACAAGAGAATGGGTAAAAAATATGTCTCCACACAGTGAAACACCACTTATCAGTAAAAAGGAATGAACACTGACCTTGGCAAGAGCATGGCAGAATCTCAGGGAAATTATACTCCAAGGAAGAAGCTAGACACAGAAGAGCACATACTCTAGGATTCCATCCATTCAAAGTTCAAGAACAGGCAAAGTGACTAGAAGGTGATAGAAATTAGAACAGCTGCCCTGCAGGGGAATGGTTACTGGATGAGAAGGTGTACAAGGGAAGCTTCTGGAGATGGTTTATATAAGTTGATCTGGTGATACTTCCAGGGGTGTTTATTTGGCAAAATTAATTGAGCTGTAGACTTAAGATTTGTGCATTTTGTTGTGTGAAAATTATGCCTTGAGTGCTGGAGGAAAAAGACTCACCCTGTTACAGGTGGAAAATGACTGAGCTACGCCATTGTCCAATGGCCAGTAAGTATGGCCACTGCCTCTTTTTAAAGGATTGGGAAGACTCTGTCCGGGTCAAAGGTGTTTCTGAGTGTTCTCCTTGGGCCAGGTCCTGTGCTTAGGGTTGGGGTAAAGATGGACACAGTCCTGTCCTGATGAAGCATTTGTCCTGGGACAGGGACAAGCATTCATCCCAGGGCCACATGGGGAAGTAGGAGCAGGGACAGTCGATGCTCCTTGGAGGGGACTGAGTCCAGATCTCCTGGAGGAAGAGGGAGCAAGTTGCAAAGAAATACGGGAGGAAGAAACATGATGTAGGGATTAGGTTGCTTCAGGTTGGGCAGAGACCCATACTATGGAAAGAGAAAATGTGGTCTGTATGGGAAGGGGACTGTCAGTAATGCAGTCCTCCTGGAGCTTAGAGTAGAGATAGAAAGTGATCGTTAATGAAAGTGGCTTTCACTTATGCACAACTTACTCTGTGCCTACCCGCTGTTCATATATCAACTCATTAAATCTTCCCAAGGGCCCTTTGCAGTAGATTGTCTCCATTTAACAGATGATGAAATTGAGATTCAGAGAGAAGTCACATAGCTGCCAGGTCACATAGCCGGTGAGTGGCAGAGAAGATTTTAACCCAGGTCAGCTGGGTCGAGAATCCACTCTTGCAGTCCTTCTGTTCAGCTAACGAGGTGGAGGGGGCCAGGTTGTGAAGGCCCTAATCAGCCTTTTTACAGTTTCATCCTGTGGACAAAAGGAGTTAGCTGTTCTGTGAGCTTCAGTTTCCTCACCTGTAAATATAGACATTAATATTTTCTGTCTCAGGGGAGTGTTAATGGGGCTTAAAGTGGATGAAGAGCATCAAGCAACCAGCAAAAGGCATGATTAGTATTATGCCATCATATATATTAGCTGTCATTATTCTAAGTCTAGCTGATCATCTAACTGCTAACACAGGAGGACCTACTGTGCACAGGCACTCTGCTAAGAGTTTGCATGAATTACCTCTTTGATCCTCACAGCCTGTGTGTTAGGGGACATTATTATTGCATATCCCACAAAGGAAGTAAGAGAAGACAAATGTCTAAGATAATGCTGTTAATCAACACCAGTGAAAGGTTGCAGCCCAGAGAATCAAGCTCTGGAGTGCATGCCCCAACCCTGCCCCCTTCCATATGGCAGCCGTTCACTACACGTGGCTACTGAGCGCTGAAACAACAAGGGTCCAAATTGAGATGTGTTGTGAGTATGAAATACATACCCGATTTTGAAGACGTTGAGAGATCTCATTCATATTTTTTATTACATATTGAACATTTTTTACTACATGTGAACATGATAATATTTGGATGTACTGGGTCAAAGGCAAGATGTGATTAAAATTAATTTCACTGGTTTCTTTTTACTTTTTAAAAAATGTGGCTGGGTATATATCCAGGGGAATGTAAATTGTTCTATCAGAAAGACACATGCACATGAATGTTCATTGTAGCACTATTCACAATAGCAAAGACATGGAATCAACCTAGATGCCCATCAATGACAGACTGGAGAAAGAAAATGTGGTACATATACACCATGGAATACTATGTAGCCATAAAAAGAACGAGATAGTGTCTTTTGCAGGAACATGGATGGAGCTGGAGGCAATTATCCTTAGCAGACTAACGCAGGAACAGAAAACCAAATATCACATGTTCTCATGTACAAGTGGGAGCTAAAGGATGAGAACTCATGAACACAAAGAGAACAACAGACACTGGGATCTACTTGAGGGTGGAGGGTGGAAGGAGGGAGAGGAGCAGAAAAGGTAACTATTGGGTACCAAGCTTAATGCCTGGGTGATGAAATACTCTGTACAATAAAACCCCATGGCATGAGTTCACCTATGTAACAAACCTTCGCATGTACCCCTGAACCCAAAATAAAAGCTTAAAAAGAGAAAAAAAGAAAAGAATTGGAAAGCTCATAAAAACAGAATACAAAATTAGTATGTGGTAAATAATTACAGGAACTGAAGAAATAAAAGAATCACAAAAGACTTATTTGATCAATTCAATGTAAATAAATTTGAAATAAATTTTAAACTTTCAAAAACAATGTGGCTGCCAGAAAATTGTACGTTGCAGGTGAGGTGGGCATTCTATTTCTGCTGGGCAGTGCCACCCTACACTGTGCTGCTTTTCTCCTTCTGTGGGGTGAACCATACATTGGCCTCCCAGCCTGTCCACATGGGGTCTTTCAAAGTCGCTGCATTTGAACTTCAGTTTATGTGTTGATGAGTTAACTGCTTCGTCCCTCACGCCTTAGTGTGTTTGTGTGGGGGGTGCATGCTCCTGTGTCCCCTTCAAAGGCATTTCCTGCCAGGTTTTCTCTTCACCATTTTTAACATCATGACATACAGACAGTGGGAAAAGGCAGAGGGTTCCCCACGCAAACACAGCATCACAGCCTCCCATGCCCTCCCCTGCTGGCCGCTCCATCTGATAGCCCATGAGCCCTGCAGTTCCAGGTTGTAGCCCACGGCAAGGTTATTGAAGCTGAGATCGGCTGTCCTCTCTCTCCTAGGGAAAATAAAAATATTCTAATTAAAGCTGGGTAAGCCCTGGGAACAATAGTGCTGGCGCCGGGGCTGATGAATGTAATTCAGTTTGGAGCGTGAAGAGCAGGACTCTAGGCTCTTGCTGTTACCAAGCCATTTGGAGGGCAAAAATGATCCAAAAATGGATTTAAAAAATGCAGTCCAACACATAGGAGGGTAGAGGTGGGGACCTGAACTGCAGGACAGAAAGAGTCCTATTCCATCTGAAGCCAGAGGCAGCAGAGAACAGATGAGGTCATGGGACTCGGGGGCCCAGATATACCTGGCTCCACCAAACTGCAATTTCTGTATCTGGGGCAGGGGGTCATTTTTGTACCCCACCTCTTGGGCCCTCACGAAGACTGAATAAGGTAAAGTAGGCAAAGTGCTTGGATGGGGGCTCAATTAAACGGAAGCCATTCTTCTTTATTTTTGTTCCTCCCACAACCCACATTTTGACATTGAACCTCACCAATTCGAATGTTCTCAGCAGATGCCTGGAATTGCAGACAGATCCCTAGTTCCTGGGATGACATCCTTGGAAAGCTATGAGGAAAGTCATAGGGAGAGGCTACAACAAGGCTTACTGTACTTACCTGTGATCACATCTAAAAATAATCATTGCAACTAGGTAGATAAAGTATTTTTATGCCAACAGCTGGCTACTGAATAGAAGGAAAGTTACAAAGACCTGGATGCCAAATCTCCAAAGGTTTTAGAGAAAAGTCAGAATTAGTTCTGTATTAGACAAAAAGAATAATTTGTGTTTTCTTCCAGGGTGTGGAGTCGGGAAGGGAGATTAAAAAGAAAAGAGAGAGGAGAGGAAGAGAAAATCTAGCAAGATGGCAAGAGCTGGAGCTGGTGAGGGAAAGCGAGTTTGAGTCACCCCCTGACTACCACCCACCCTAAAGAGTGTCGATCAGGGGACATTTGAAAAGCCGTGATACCTAACGTTCCATCTGGAAATTGTCTGCATTAAAGCAATGTTAACCCCTCCTCTGTCTTCTACCACCACTCCTGAAATCTGCAGAAAATTCTCCTACCCTCAAAAAGGAGTCATGTAATTGGATGTCTTTCTATTTTTTAAAACAATAAGATTCAAGCAAGAAGCTGGGTTTCTTGTCTGGACTGATGTGGAGCTACAAAGTGGGGAAGCAAGAACCATGGAAACACGGCTTCTTCAGAGAACTGACAGAAATCTGGAGGAGGGCTCTAAAATGCTCAGGCCACTGCTGAGCTAGCATTATGTGAAGACTTCTTCCCATTGCCCCCCACCAAAATCCTTCTTTAAAGCAGACATTCCAGAGACTTGGGGTCCTTGCTCTTGGTTGGTGGCCAGCTCTGCATCATTTTGGATCCTTTCTATTAGAAACAAAAATGCACAGATAGAGTCTAACTGAAAAAGCAAGGAGAAAGGAAACTGGAAAGTTACTGGGAAGCTCCCAGAATTGAAACATGAGCTAAGCCACAGGACTCAGGAAGGCTAGTGACCAAGCAGTGACAGGTCTTCAGCAGCAGGATGGTGGGCTGTCCGAAGGACAAATAAATCAACTATTCTTGTATCTACCCAAGATTCAAATTTTCAAGGAAGAGACTGAGGACCTAGCTTGGGTTACATGGCTACCCCAGCAGTCAGAAGAGGGCTAGGGATGTGTGTCTGGCATGGCATAAAGAGGTGAAGGGAAAGTTCCCTAAAAAATGCAGTCTAGGCTGGGTGTGGTGGCTCATGCCTGTGATCCTAGTGCTTTTGGATGCCAAGGCAGGAGGATCACTTGAAGCAAGAGGATCACTCTGAGACCAGCCTAGGCAACAGTAAGATCCTGTCTCTACCAAAAAAAAAAAAAAAAAGTTTTAAGATAGCCAGATGTGGGCCAGGTGCAGTGGCTCATGACTGTAATTCCAGCACTTTGGCAGGCCAAGGTGGGCGAATCACGAGGTCAGGAGTTCAAGACCAGCCTGGCCAATATGGTGAAACCCTGTCTCTACTAAAAATACAAAAATTAGCAGGGCATGCTGGCATATGCCTGTAGTCCCAGCTACTCGGGAGGCTGAGGCAGAAGAATTGCTTGACCCCAGGAGGTGGAGGTTGCAGTGAGCCAAGATCAGGCCACTGCACTCCAGCCTGGGAGAGAGAGTGAGATTCCCTCTAAAAAAAAAAAAAAAAAAAAAAAAAAAGCCAGGTGTGGTGGTGCACACCTGTAGTCCTAGCTACTCAGGAGGCTGAAGTGGGAGAACCGCTTGAGCCCAGGAGCTTGAGGCTGCGGTGAGCTATGATTATACCACTGCACTCCAGCCTTTCAGCCTGGGCAACAGAACAAGATCCTCTTGAGTCTTTAATAAAAGGGGGCAGGGGTAATCTAGAATAAGGAGAGAGAAGATACTAGGCATGTGTGTGCATGTGTGTGCACACATGCACATGTGCACACAAACACACACACAGATGCTCATTTCATCCCACCCCTTTACTACCCACACCTGCTGTTCTCGTACATACAAACTGACATCACAATGCAATTATTCTACATACAACCACAAACACATGCATGCTTCCTCAGTGAGAAAAAGGCAAATAAAGCAGTATATTTATCTGGAAATACGACTTTTAGGAATAAGGGTAACAGTTTCAGAGACCTATGAAAATGTCACAAAGAGGGTGAGTGGGAAGAGTTTGGGGGCTGGCTTTCAGATTAAAACAGGCACTCCACTCTAACCCTGGGCAAAATAGCCCCAAGGTGGTGGTTACTCAGACTACATGCTCCTTGGTGTTTGGCTGTCACAGTGGCTACATCAGAGAGGAAGTGATGTCACCCAGTGGGACTTTGGCCCTTGGAAGACACTATCATGTGGTACTTAAATCTCACTGACTGAAGGAAGAATTTTACCTGAGCTTGCAAATACCCTACCTGCCCAAGTGTCCTGACATGCTCGAGATCCTTAAATTAAGCCAATGAAAAAGAACAAGCATAGAGTAGCAGTGACGAATATAGGCTTGGAATGAGGTAGAGCTAGGTTCAGATCTGGGCTGGTTTGCTTTTTCCCAGTTACACAGCTTTGGTAAGGGCTTAACCATTCAGACCTTAGTTTTCTCATCTGTGAAATGGGTTAATGTCTACTTTTAGTGATGTTCTGAGGAATAAATGAACTAATGCATGCAACATGCTCAGAACAGTACCTGGCATGTAATAAAGGCTCCATAAATGTAAACTATGATTATTGTCTCTTCCTGACAGGTGAGGAAACTGAAACTCAGGAAAGAAAACATTAGCTTGTCCGGGACAGCACAGCGGTTCATCAAAATTCACAAAGAAAAAGCATATAGAAAGAAAAAGACTAGACCAGCATCACTCAATTGAAATATAATTAGAGTGGTGAGTGATTTTAGATTTCCTTATAGCCATATTTTTTTAAAAAAAGAATAGGTGAAATCAATTTTAATAACATATTTTATTTAATCTGATACATCCCAGATAGTATCATTTCAGCATATGACCACTATGAAAACTTAAATTTCAGTAGTTTGCATTCATTATTTCCTAGTAGCCACACTTTTTCTCCATCTTTTCAAGACGTTTTCTAAACTTTTAATTTTATGTGCAGGCTTTGTTACAGAGGTAAATTTGCATCACGGGGGTTTGTTGTACAGATTATTTCATCTCCCAGGTATTAAGCCTAGTACCCTTTATTCATTTTCCCTGATCCTCTCCCTTCTCCTGCTCTCCACCCTCTGATAGGCCCCAGTGTGTGTTGTTCCTCTCTTTGTGTCCCTATGTTCTCATCATTTAGCTCCCACTTATACGTGAAAACATGCAGTATTTGGTTTTCTGTTCCTGTGTTAGTTTGGTAAAGATAATGGCCTCCAGCTCCATCCATGTCTCTGCAAAGGACACAATCTTGTTCTTTTTTATAGTAGCCACATTTCAAAAGATAAAACTAAACAGGCAAAATTAATTCTGTTCATATGTTTTACTTAACCCAATATGTCCCAAGTATAATTTCAATATGCAATTCATGTGAAAAAGTATTGATGAGTTCTTTCACCTTCCTTTCATTCATGCTACATTGCTGGAATTGGGACTTTCACACTTACAGCACATCTTAATTTAGACCTGCTGCGCTTCAACTGCACACTAAACACAGGAGGCTGCCATTGTGAAAAGGGCAGTAGCAGATGATTAGATTCTCAGTGTTCCCAGTAGCCCCACAAGGTATCAACAGCTGCATTTTGTAGATGAGGAAATGATGCCTGCGAGGTTAAGTGACTCTCCCAAGGTCACACAGCTAGAAAGAGCAGAGCTGGGTTTGGGCTGTCTGACTTTTTGCAGTAAGTCCCTGCAGGTCCTTTTGCCTCTTTGGGACCCCCACGACCATCTCAGGGTTGTCCACCCCCACCAAACATCGATTATCACCATGATATATGGCCCTCCTGCCAGGCAGCCCTGGAGACATAATTAATTTCTTTCTGCTGGTGGAGGCCTGCCTGGACACCCTCACCTCCCCACACCACCTCTGCTTCTAGCTGAGTCAATCGATTCCCAGCTCGTCAATGGTGCTGAGGAGTAACCTGCAGCTGCAGTTAGATTCGCTTCATCAGGCACTTGGTCAGAGCAGCCCATCTGACACTTTTGTTGGGTCGGGAGCATCATATTTCAGTGTCTATTTCCACCCCAGATTCTTGTTCCTGAATGGGCTAGGGTGGATATAGGATTCCCTGCTTTATGTATTACAGCAGGCCCATGCTCCTTCCCGGTAAGAGGAAATCTACTGATTGGAGTGCAACTAATTATCTGGCCTGAAAGGGATCATTTGTCAACCAACCAGCACTTACTGAGCTCCATCTGTGTGCTCAGCTCTCAGTGGGATAGTACTACTGATAATAATACCAGTAACTACAACAACAATAATAATAACTAACATGTAGTTAGCCCTTTCTATGTTTCAGGTACTGCTGTAGCATGTTGTTAGGATAGATGTTATTATAACTTCCATTTGACAGGAGAGGAAACTGAGGCTCAGAAAAGTGAAGAGACTTTCCCAAGGCTACACGTTTGAGAAGGATAACTCTGGGATTCAATCCGAAGCAGCCTGGCTGCACTCAAGAACTCATTGCCTTGTTGAAGAGGCAACATACATACTCAAGAAAAATGCGATGAACAACAGAAGAGAGAAAGCAGTAAGGGCTATTATTTCTGGACTACTAATATTAATATCATAGCAAATACTTAATGAAAAACTCATGATGTGCCAGGCTGCATTCCAAAAGCTTATGAGATATGTACTGCATTCTAAAAGCTTTATGTACTATATCTTATTAAATCTTCACAAAACCCAAGACATAGATACTGTTACCATCTTATTTTATAGATGAGGAATTTGAGGCTTAGCAGGGTAAAATGACGGGGACAAGGTCATAACAACGTAACCCCAATGAATAGATGAATGATTCTGTTGTGATTTATATTTAGTTCATAGCTGATTCTTTGCCCCAAATCCCCCAGGGGTTATAAGGTGCGGGTGACACCCCAAGAGAGATATCTGAGCTGCAGAAAGCTGGCATTAAGTTGGGCATTCCTAACAGGCACAGCATCAGTGGCTCAGGGCATTTTATGTGCTTTCAGAGGAGAGGATCCATGACTTTTATCAGATCCTCAGAAAAATTCAGACCACTGCTTTAAAGGATTGTTTGAAGAGAGAACAGGGGTTCCCCTTTGATGAAAGGCATCACATAAAGCAGTGAAGAGCACGTGGGATCTTGATCCAGAACTGGTTCAAATCCTGGCTTTGTTGCCAAATAGAGATATAAACTTACGTGAGTAGGTTGCCATCCGAAGCCGTTTCCTCATCTCTAAGATGGCGGTCAAGATGATACTTAGTCTAAAGGGTTGCTGTTGCAGGGATAAAATGAGATAGTATGTGTGTATGTGTTAAGTTCTTAGAAGAATACTTAGCATATAGTAGTCCTTGATAAATGGTACCCACCGCAAGGTTGATTTCTGTACTCCCCTTCCCTCTTCTCCCGACCCCAAACTGGAATTTCTCTAAAACGTAAACCTAGAAATTACCTAAGCCTACTCTTCACTATCTGCCTATGCATTGCTCTTTGTAAGTGTCATTTCCAACAAAGCCAGATCAGAGCCAACGGGATCCCGAAAGTTATTTCTAGTCTAATGGAAAGTGGACATTCTCTAGAATAGCTAAGAAGCTTCACTCTCACTGGCCTCCCAGCCACGACTACTTTCCAATTCCCACTGTTTCTCAAACCCACTCCGTCTGTCCTTCCCCCATTTACAGCCACATGGGAATGAAGGATACCCAAATGGAACAGTGATGGCAACCAAATGAAATGGTACTTTGACAACAGCCAGGATAAACCCTAGGCTGAGAACCCAGCTTTAAACACCTTTATGGTCACTTGTAACAGCTGCACACTTTTTCTGTGCAAAGCAGTCCATACTTTTGCTCATTTGAGTCCTCATAGTCCCCCTCTGTGGTAGATGATGGTATTACTCCAATTTTCCAGGTGAAGAAACCAAGACTCAAAGAAATTAACTTGGCTGAGATATCACACAGCTAAGAAGTAGCAGAGACAGGAATCCACATGCTTGATCATGGTGCTCTGCCACCTCCTTTCCCCCAAAGCAAGTGGTCTCTTTTACACACAGCAACTTTTCAATATGAATTTTAAGAAGAATTCAAGGCCCTGTGGATTTTTGTGTACCCCCACCTCTATCACAAAGATCCAGTGGGTAGGAATTGGCAAAGAGGCTGCTGTAAGAAGGGAAGAGAAAGCCACCTCAAATTACAGAAATCACAATGGGGCATCTGTATAATAAGGACATGTGAACAGAAGTAAGGAAAGCACTTGGAGGCTAAATAATCAAAGAGTTTATAATAATTTTTAAAAAGGGCTTCACAAATTAGGATAAAGCTTTGTGAAGTAGCACAGTGTTCTAGAATATTAACTGAAGTTGTTTTACCCACAGCATTTGCTTATAGCTCATCTTTCCCCTCATTGAGACAGTAACTGACTGGCAAGGCATCTCTGCCGAAGAAAGAGTTGACACAGAAGAGTAGATATAATAAAGTAGTCAAGTCCCTGGCTCATGAGTCTTCAAGTCTTTCCCAGAATAAGAATCTTTGGAGATCTGACCTATGTAAAGCCATGGTTTATTAAATTCCCCAGGTAATTCTTACATACACTAGTTTGAGAAGCAGTCTTGTGTTTCTTATAAAACCTATGTGGAAAAATATTTAGTAAGGACAAGATGTCCTATATTTAGAAACACTCCCTTGACGTTAAGGAGGAAGAGAGTAACAAGAGACTCAAAGTGCTCAGATAGTATTAGGAGCCTGAGAAAGAACTCTACTCGTCAGCCATCCCACTCTCAGGCCGATTTTGGTGGTGATGCAGCACCCCCAGTTAGGCTGGGACATCTGAGAGCAGCAGGCATTGCCCTAGCCCTTCCCTGGGTGTACCTTGTAAAAGCGTGGACCAGAACCCCATCCTTCTGAGACTCCAGTGCTGTAGCATGGTGTGGGAGCAGAAGAATAATCCAGGTGTCCAGGTGGGTCCTGTAAATGGTGTTTCCTAAATCTCAGAATGGTGTGATAGCAGTAGAAGGGCTCTTACAGTCCAGGCTGGGGGCCTGAGACGACATTTGGGTCTGAAATGCAGACTAATTCAGCAATGACCTAGATGGGTAGACATACAAAGGCCAGGCAGGTCAAGGATGTTGCAGCTGTTGCCAGAAGAAACAGACTAGAAAGGAAGGACTCGATCTCTATCTCACTGTCATGATTTGGTACAAGCTATGCTTTCCAGGGAACCCAAGTGGACTAGATTTCTGCTGTGGCAGAATGGACTCTGCAGCAGATGTTACTAGTGTTCCACTTACATCCCTCAGACACCTTATAATTTTCATGCACGCAGTCTTCCTGGGTGCTTTAACTATGTGTGGCCAGCACCTAAATCTCTTGGTGGGAGGACCACCCTCAGGCTACTAGAACCCCTTAGGCTTAATTGCCTAGAGAACCTAGAGTGCCCACGTATTCACTCCCGCAGGACAACCCTAAACTAACGCCTGATAGTATGCGGGAGGGAGATGCAAATATTCCAGCTTCCATGCCCCCTGATCTGAAAGACTCTGAGGGCGACCATCACTGTCCCCAGCTCCCTAAAGGACTGAGCAAAGCTTATCCTCCATGAGCTCTTGCTTGCCTCCTTCCCTTGGGCTCTCACTCACCTATTCCTTGATCAAATTTTCCTGGGGCCACTTCCTTATAAGTCATTTGTACATGAATCTTCATCTCAGGGTGTTTTTTGAGGGTTCTAACGTAAAGCAGGTGCTCAAAATAAAACTGAGTTTAGTTATAGGGAAAAAAATGCAGTTACCTTTTCGTGCCTGTCTGAGTTTATAGACTGAGATTTACGAAGGCTGTACTTATTAATGAATATCATAACAAAGCTACTTCTTTTTAGCACTTGTACATTTCTATGAATGACCTCATTAAACCCATGAGCTGAAAATCATTGTTATCTCCACATTACAGATTTCAAGAGGTTCAATAACTCTTGGTTCAAGGGCTACAAGCAAAGTCTTACAGCCCTTCTCCTCAAGGAATGTTTAGGCCAGGAAGATGGATCAGTGGCCTTAGTCTGGCCAAAGTCCCATACTCTAAGCAAGAGAGCTGGGGTAGTTCCAAGACATAGTCACTAAGCTGAGATGCCCTAAACTCCTCCTACCCAGGCAGTTCTGGGCCAAGAGACTGAGAGGAGTTCAACTCCTAGGCAGTTTTTGTAGTGCAGGTTCTGTCACCTCTCTGGGCCTCTTTTCTCACTTGCAAAGTGGGGTTAATAATTATTTAAAATGCAGATCCTTTGGCTAGTGATTCAGGGACCTGAATATGGATTACTGACATAAACGATTTTTTAAAATCCCCCACCAAAGTACACTGATGAGTGCCATTTACTTTGAAATGTATCAAAAAAGGAGAGGCAAATTGATAGATAGTGATAAAGCATGAAAAAGAAAATGGGGGTGGGTAAAATTCAACTTTGCTATAGGTCTGAAACTTTTTTTTTCTTTTTTTTTTTTTTTTTGAGACAGAGTCTTGCTCTGTCGCCCAGGCTGGAGTGCAGTAGCCGGATCTCAGCTCACTGCAAGCTCCGCCTCCCGGGTTCGAGACCATCCTGGCTAACCCGGTGAAACCCCGTCTCTACTAAAAAATACAAAAAACTAGCCAGGCGTGGTGGCGGGCGCCTGTAGTCCCAGCTACTCAGGAGGCTGAGGCAGGAGAAGGTCTGAAACTTTTCATAACAAAATGTTGGGTGGACTTCCCAAGTGATTCTCATTTGATGCAGTGGTCCCTGCCTGCTCCTTTGATAAGTCAATTTGATGCCCAAAGCAATGCAAAGCAAGACAAAGGTGAGGCAGAGTAAGTTGAGGGCTGGAAGCACTTATCTTTCTAGGATTCCCTATCTTGAGCACTTTAGTCTTCTCTTTGCATTTTCCTTTTGTTTGGGAGCTGTCAGGTCTGAAGAACATGTCCCCAATAAAGCTCACAACTGAGAATACTGGTTTTGATAAGAAAGTGGGAGTAGGCCAGCCATAGGTACCTGGGGAAGTAGACAGAGATGAATGCCACTGGGCGCAAGATGTATCTTGAAGCCACCAGATGTGACTTCACTGTGGGGCCCACGATATTTCCCAGTGCTTTGGAAATCACTTCCATTCATCACCCTTTGTGCTTCTGATTCATCTTGCAGGCAAGACAAGTCGTTTTACGCTGAAGCAAGAAAGATTCCTTTAATAGCCCTCTGAATCAGTGGGCTGTTTATTCTCTCTCTCCAAAGGCTTCTGTCAGCTCATGCTGAATCTGTCCAGGTTCATCCTAAAGTACTTTCCTCCAGCAGACAAGGCCACAAGCGGCAAACCTTAGTGGTAATTCACCCAGGCCCAGAGAGATGGCCACACCATAGTCAAAACAACAGGGGTCATTGTTAACAAGGTACCTTTTCATCAGCGGTACCCAGGAAATGACAAGAAGACACTGGGCATCACAAGGACTAAAGAATGAAAAACTGCATCTATTCTGATGTTTATTTGTCCTCTTTTTATGACACAAAAGTTAACTTGACTTCTTCTTATAGAGTTCAATGCCTAACACATCCAAACGCAGTCACCATCTTTGGCCTGAAACCTGATGCACAGTAAACATTCAATAAATTTTTGAATGAGGGGACCATATAGAACTAACAAATGAATTAACAAAATAACATTAGGCACCATTTACTGAATAAATTTTATACCAAATTATAGTAGACTGTTTCAA